CCTTAGCTGTGAGTCGTAGTATCGCTTCTCCTATGGCTATGGGTCTGACACCTCCGTCCGGTTTCTCCAGGGCTACTAGTCTAGATGGTAGCAAAAGCTCCGTCAGTTCCGCTGGCAGGTGGGTGCTAAGGACGTGGTTGACGACACCGTGCAGGTAAGAGAATACTTCATTGTTGGTGAGCGCGGGGTCTCGAAGGTGCTCGAAGCAGGTGCCTGAGGGTCCCACTCCAATTCCGTTGGGGCATTTCGCCAGTACTTCGCGAAAGGTCTCTGCTGACGTTGCGAGGTTGCTGGAGGCGAATCTTGTTACCCAGTTCGGGATTTCGCTCCTTGCCCCAGGGTGCTTCGCTTTTAATGCTTCCAGGGTCGCATTTGATGGTTCTGCGAGTGGCGAAGTTTGTAACGCTGCTGCTTCTTTTGCCAGATTCGCCTTGCGCACGAGCCCCTCCGCCCTCGCGCAGATGCCCTCTGGGTCCGGCTGGTGACGACTCGGTTGAGAGTTCTGGGGTATGGTGCAGGCCTGGGAGTACAGTAAGTCCCACTTTTCCAACTTGAACTGGTCCAGCCTTCTCGCCACCTCGCTCCACCTGTTTCCAGGTGCGTTCCCAATGTTAGCTCTCAGTGTGAGTCGGGGCAGGAATAGCAACATTCGCCAGGCTCCTTGGCAGGTCGGGTTCTTGGAAAGCCGCAGCAGGGGAATCGTGAGGCAGTAGCTGTAGATTCCGAGAATGTTGGGGGGAAGCTTCCGACCTAGGAAGGGCTGGGCACTGTTGCGTAGAGGTGACAGGTCCCACTCCTTCACCTTCTGCCACGTGGCCTCGTCATCCGCGATATCTGCTGCTGAGCGCTCTCTATTTGCTGCCCTCGCGCTAGCCTGTGCACTTGATTCGGCCTCCTGGGCTGGTTGTGGGTCACGTGGCCTCCTCTGTCCCTGGTTTGCGCCTGTATTCGGGATCCCCTCCTCTGCGTCGAGGGAGATATCTTCAGAATCCCTCTCCTCCGATTCAATATATTCCCCATCACTTCCTTCATCCTCACCCCTCATTGGGTTTGCGTTCTGTCTTGTGCCAGTCCGCTCCGGCCTTCCGTGTCTTTCCCGCCAGTCCCCCGATCTGGCCTTTTCCCTTGCTACCGCTCGTACCAAGTTTCCCAGGCCTCCTCCCCTGCCTTGGCCCCTCCCTCGCGCTCCTCGCGCTGCCGCCCCAGGCGCCACGGTTTCCGGCGGTCGACCTTCAGCTCTCCAGTTGGCCTGCTCCCGCAGGGCCTGCTGCCGGTTCGTTCCCCCTTGGTGGCGGCCGCGTCTCGCCGCGGCCCTCCTCTCCTCTGCCTCTTCGGCGGCGCTCTCCCTCTCCTCCTGCGCCTCTGCCTCTTCTTCCGCGATCTCCAGCGGTGATGACTGGTCGGCGCCGCCCTCCACCTCGGCGACTGCCTGGGGCGGATCTGCCTGATGCGTCCAACCCACAAGGGGCCCAGGTCGGGCGGGTGCCAGCCCTTCTCCGAGCCGCCGCTGATGTTATTGCGGCCGCGGCTTCTGGCGGCGGTTCCTCTCAGGCACGCGTCGGTTCGTCTGCGCCTCGTGAGCCGATTTATCGGTCTCCCCGCGGGCGGACTCATCCGCATCTAAGGGCCCGGGGTCAATCCTTCCGCCGCCGCCGCCCTCCCTGGCCATCTCCGTCGCTTGCCCTGCAGTCGGCGCGATCCTTGGTTCAGGCCCCACGGTCGCAGGTGCCACGGGCGCCTCACTCGCAACCATCGACGCAGCCCCTGCCGCCTCGACCGTTGCCGTCGCTGGCTTCTTCTTCGTCACAGCAACAGCCTTTCTCTGCGCCGGCGGCCCTGTTATCCTCCCCATCGGTGGCGCCGCCCGGGGCTGAGCCGGTGGCGCCGTCTGCGTCTTCCGGCCCGAGTTGCTTGCCGCCGCAGCCGCCGCCGACGTGGGCCTCTCTTCTAGCGCCTCAGACGCCGCAGGCCCAGCTGCAGGTCTCTCAGTGTCAGCCGAGTCCTTCTCTGCCGCCGCTAACCTCTCTCTCTCTCTCTCTCTCTCTCTCTCTCTCTCTCTCTCTCTCTCTCTCTCTCTCTCTCTCTCTCTCTCTCTCTCTCTCTCTCTCTCTCTCGCTGTCTCAGTCCTTATTGTTATTTGGAGATATGTATGCCTACCTTACTTGGGCCCATGCCCTTCCACACGTCCCCTCTCTTAGGCTCCCAGTCTCTCCCCTTCTTTATTATTGTTTGTTCTCATACGGTCCATGCTATTTCGTGTCCTTTGGGGCCTACTTCCAATAAAGCCAAGGCTGCCCATCCTTGCCGTATCCAGCGGCGGTGGTTCGAGTGAGGAACATATGATGCATTTTCTCCTTCTCTTTCTCCTCCTCCATTTCCTTCGTGCTTTCTTCCGTTTTAGATCCTTCACCAAGCAATGGGTCGAAATTCTTCATCTCATGGGTCATACATTGCTATGTCAACTAGCATGCTTTTCATCCCATCAATTGGGGCATACGGGGGACCGAGAGGCATTCTTCCTCTTCCCCAAAGCTAGGATCATGGCCCTTCCTTACTACCCTATCCTAGGGCTAGCCCATGGCCACCGCAAGCCCTAATAGGCTGCCCACGGTCTAAGCACTCGAGAGTGCACCGTGCATCACGCCCAATGGCTTGCTTAGCCATATCCCGACCCCTACACGACGGGTGCGGGTCCTTGGCCTCCCTGCCCGTTTCGAGGGCAGGCATTGGCGACGTGGCCCGGCTGACCGCAGCGGAAGCACGAGCCACGAAAGCCGTGGAAGCTGCCCGATGGCGGCGGTCCACACTTTGGGGGGAATGCCGTTGCGCCGTTGTTTCCGCCGCGGTTGAAGCGAGCATGAGCGGCCGCCGCTCGGTCCATGGCAGCAACGTCCGCGACTGCCTGCTTGTATGGCCGCGAGGTGAGCAAGCTTTTCTGCAGGTACATCTTGTAGCGCTTGGCGACGCGTTCATCGGCGGCATCTTCGACTTGAAACATGTCGAAGCGCGCCGAGATGTCGTCGAGAGCGGCAACGACCATTTCGAGTCCGCCCGCCAAGTCGTCGTGCTGCAGCTTGTACTCCGTGTACTTCAGGTAGGCCCTCATGTCCTCCAAGACCTCCGCTTTCGCCCGCACTTCCGGGTGGTTGAACGTCGCCGCCGACCACGTGGTGTTAGTGTTAGAGGGGAGAGGGGGGAGGTGTTCCATGGAGATAAAATTTGGAGCATTGACTGGAGCCTCACCGTTGTCGTCGTCCGAGTCGTCAGTGTCATTATCAGCAGCTGGCGCAGGTGGGATGTTGGCCGCTGCTTCCTTGTTGTGCCGGTTCGCCGTTGTTCCTCGCGCTCCTTTTTGTGTTTTTGCAGTTTCCTTTTTTGCAGAAGCAGAGGTCGCGGGTAGTGCAGTTTCCGCAGCTGTAACGCTGACGGGCTGCTGCTGTAACAGGGACAGAAGTGCGGCGATTTGGTCCGGGGTCAACGCCGGAGTCAACGCCGGGGTCGTCGCGTCAGACGAAGACGCCGTTCGGCGCCTCTGGCGCTGACGCGACGGTCCAGCCACAGGCGCTGGCGCGTGCTGTGCGTCAGGCGCGTGTGGCGCCACAGGTGCTGCAGGCATTTTCGTCGCCACTTGCGCCACGGGTGCCTCAGGCGCCACTGGCGCCACAGGTGCCGAAGGGTGCTGCTGCTGGAGGGGGGTGCTCGAGTTTTTGTTGACCTCGAGCCCGCCCAACAGCACGTCCACTGCCGTCGGGGCGGGCGATACTTCGTCTGCCCGCCGCTTGTTACGGCGATCGCCCGTCAATTCTCGGGCGTTACGGTCGGAGTCGGAAGTCGGCGCGGACGAATTGCCGCGGTTAAGTGTCGGCGTGGACGCCATAGTTGAGCGATTGTATGTAAAAATGTCGCGCAGTAAAGTTGAGGGTGACACGCCTCTCGGGAGACTGCGAGTTCTAGCCAGCTTGGACGGAAAGAAGTCTACTCGAACGGAAATGTTGATAGAGCCGTTGAAAATAGAGAAACGTGGGTGGAGGGAAATGAACTCCAACCCACGGTTTTTGTAGTTGGAGAAGGGCGTTTAGCGCGCTTCGACGCTGCCAAATATTCGGTACAGGCAGCTTCGCTTTCACAATACACAATTTTTGAAAAACACGAATGTGTTTAAAAATTGTAATATCTCAAGAGAAATTGAGATCAATTGCAAAACAGTTGACGCTGAGTAACCCCATTTTTTTAGGCTAAGTTGACTGGTTGGCTAGGCAATTTGGCATGCGACACTCCCAAGTTTTTGGCCCAGCACCAAATGCAAAACAATTTCAGAGACATGAGACTTTCGGCAAATTTCAGGCATTCTAGCTTCGGATCCGCACCAAATTCCATGCCTACAAGGTTCGGCCACCCACAGACGATTTCAGTTTCCTTCTCATACCTCGCTGCACCCCTTGCACCCCGTCAACCAATCGCAGCCAACCTCCACCCATCAACTGCAAAACATTTGTGGTTCTTGAGATCCTGGCTTTAATGTTTACACTGGCGTTCACAATTGAAAATCGGCAGTGTAACAAGAGATTGGCAGCAGTAGTACCGTATATACATGTTGACAAGATTCCTCTGGGCTGGGCTGTATATGGAAGCACTACCAATCCACTGTTCTGGCTTTGCACCACTGTGAAGCTTCTGTTTATGTTCTGCCTCCAGTTCCTCCTGCAATACAGGGGATGGTGCAGACAGGGTCAAAAGCCACAACAATTTTAAACTGGTAGCAACAGCACAGGTGTTCAAAAATATATGCGATATTAACAGAATACAGTTAAGAAAATCGGGATTACACAGCAGATTCATTACCTTGGAGGCAGCAAGCAACCAAGGTGCTTCGAAAGATTTCCATGAAGGGAGCGAGTGATGTCGACTCAATGCCTGCAGTGGAGGGAGCGAGCGCGAGAGAGCCAAGAACATTTCACAGGATACGGAGCCAAAGCAATGCAGAAAAGTTCATTACTTAGTCAAAAGCCCACGTATTGCACATCAAATGCACCAGAGTATCGACAAGGCACGGAACGAAGGACAGAAATAACGGTAGAGGTAAGGAAGGTGAGGAGGAAAAGAGGCAAGGAGCCCTTACCCATGGCCGCAGCAGCGACGCCATCTGATTCCCGATGGGCTGCATTGATCTCATTCATCAGCTGTGAGGGGAGGGAAGGGCGAGGGAGAATGGTGGAGGATAAGAAGGGAGAATTGAGGCAAGGAGGCCTGCCAGTGGGTGCAGCAGCGGCGCCATCTGATTCCCGATGGGCTGCATTGATCTCATGCATCAGCTGTGGAAAGGAACAGGGAGGAAGGAGCGAGGGGAGGGGGGGGAAGAAGAGGAATGGAGGATAAGGAGAAAGAAGGCCACTCCTGTAAGAGGTGCCGTCTGATGCCCCATGGGAGAGGAACACTGAGGGCAACTCCTGTAAGAGGTGGCATCTGATGCCCCATGAGCCGCATCGATCTCATCCACCTGCTGAAGGGAGGACAGAGAGGAAGGGGTGAGGGAGGACAGAGAGGAAGGGGTGAGGGAGGACAGAGAGGAAGGGGTGAGGGAGGACAGAGAGGAAGGGGTGAGGGAGGACAGAGAGGAAGGGGTGAGGGAGGACAGAGAGGAAGGGGTGAGGGAGGACAGAGAGGAAGGGGTGAGGGAGGACAGAGAGGAAGGGGTGAGGGAGGACAGAGAGGAAGGGGTGAGGGAGGACAGAGAGGAAGGGGTGAGGGAGGACAGAGAGGAAGGGGTGAGGGAGGACAGAGAGGAAGGGGTGAGGGAGGACAGAGAGGAAGGGGTGAGGGAGGACAGAGAGGAAGGGGTGAGGGAGGACAGAGAGGAAGGGGTGAGGGAGGACAGAGAGGAAGGGGTGAGGGAGGACAGAGAGGAAGGGGTGAGGGAGGACAGAGAGGAAGGGGTGAGGGAGGACAGAGAGGAAGGGGTGAGGGAGGACAGAGAGGAAGGGGTGAGGGAGGACAGAGAGGAAGGGGTGAGGGAGGACAGAGAGGAAGGGGTGAGGGAGGACAGAGAGGAAGGGGTGAGGGAGGACAGAGAGGAAGGGGTGAGGGAGGACAGAGAGGAAGGGGTGAGGGAGGACAGAGAGGAAGGGGTGAGGAAGGACAGAGAGGAAGGGGTGAGGGAGGACAGAGAGGAAGGGGTGAGGGAGGACAGAGAGGAAGGGGTGAGGGAGGACAGAGAGGAAGGGGTGAGGGAGGACAGAGAGGAAGGGGTGAGGGAGGACAGAGAGGAAGGGGTGAGGGAGGACAGAGAGGAAGGGGTGAGGGAGGACAGAGAGGAAGGGGTGAGGGAGGACAGAGAGGAAGGGGTGAGGGAGGAGGAAAGGGAGCAAGGGATTTACGAGGAAGGGACAGAAGTCAGCTTCAAAGGTTGCGTTGGCTATCAGGAGAGGTTCAAAGGATATCCAGCTGTGGACTTTCCATTGGCTTGCTTTTGCGACGTCTCAAAAGGTTCAAGGATATCCAGCTGTGGACTTTTCATTGAGTTGACACAAACCAAATATGAGGGAACTGGAGAGGGGGTGAAGAGTAACTGAGTACTACTTAACTGAGAAACATAGAGGCGTACTAAATTCGAGAGATGGTGCTACGAGGGACACAACAGCACCTGATTGAGCGTGGGGGCTTGGCTTGGCTCGAAGTCAGCACAGTTGGCCGGGTCTATGGGCACACACACAGCACCGGCGAGAGGGGAGTGAGAGGGGAGTGAGAAGGGAGTGAGAAGGGAGTGAGAAGGGAGTGAGAAGGGAGATGGCCACGCACACAGCACCAGAAATAGAGCACCCAGAAACAGGAGTCAGGAGGATGCGCAAACCAAAGCAGACGCAGGCAGGGAACAGCTCACTGTTTTCAGGTGCATGCAGAACCGTGCTTTTGATGAATGGAGCATGCAGAACCGTGCTTTTGATGAATGGAGCATGCAGAACCGTGCTTTTGATGAATGGAGCATGCAGAACCGTGCTTTTGATGAATGGAGCATGCAGAACCGTGCTTTTGATGAATGGAGCATGCAGAACCGTGCTTTTGATGAATGGAGCATGCAGAACCGTGCTTTTGATGAATGGAGCATGCAGAACCGTGCTTTTGATGAATGGAGCATGCAGAACCGTGCTTTTGATGCATGGAGCATGCAGAACCGTGCTTTTGATGAATGGAGCATGCAGAACCGTGCTTTTGATGAATGGAGCATGCAGAACCGTGCTTTTGATGAATGGAGCATGCAGAACCGTGCTTTTGATGAATGGAGCATGCAGAACCGTGCTTTTGATGAATGGAGCATGCAGAACCGTGCTTTTGATGAATGGAGCATGCAGAACCGTGCTTTTGATGAATGGAGCATGCAGAACCGTGCTTTTGATGAATGGAGCATGCAGAACCGTGCTTTTGATGAATGGAGCATGCAGAACCGTGCTTTTGATGAATGGAGCATGCAGAACCGTGCTTTTGATGAATGGAGCATGCAGAACCGTGCTTTTGATGAATGGAGCATGCAGAACCGTGCTTTTGATGAATGGAGCATGCAGAACCGTGCTTTTGATGAATGGAGCATGCAGAACCGTGCTTTTGATGAATGGAGCATGCAGAACCGTGCTTTTGATGAATGGAGCATGCAGAACCGTGCTTTTGATGAATGGAGCATGCAGAACCGTGCTTTTGATGAATGGAGCATGTGCAAGATCACCTGTCCACTCAACAAGTGGCAGCAACACAGGAGGGGCACGAAAGTCACATGTCTTTGGGTGCACGCAGAACGGGGCCGACTTTAGAGTCGACTCAAAAGTCAACTATGTGCAAGATCACCTGTCCACTCAACAAGTGGCAGCATCACAGGAGGGGCACGAAAGTCACCTGTCTTTGGGTGCACGCAGAACGGGGCCTTGAGCAAATGGTTCATGTGCTTTGAGACCTGTGAGGAACAGAGGGGCAGAGAGGCAGAGAAAAATATGGGGTTGCACTTGAGTCGACTCAATGGCAAATGGTTCATGTGCTTCGACACCTGAGAGGAACAGAGGGTTAGAGAGGCAGAGAGACAAAGAGACAAAGACGTAGAGAGACAGAGGCGTAGCGAAATCAGGCGTGGCCTTTGAGTTGATTCAACAACTTTGAGAAAAGAAGAATAAATATTGCAGATTAAAAACTGTAAGAAGCAATGAGACATTGATGCGCACGGACGGATGCAGTAGAGAGAAGAAGCCCACCAGGCTGACTTTTGAGTCGACTCAAAAGTCATCATGCAGTAGAGAGAAGCCCACCAGGCTGACTTTTGAGTCGACTCAAAAGTCATCATGCAGTAGAGAGAAGAAGCCCACCAGGCTTAGTATGAACGGACCTACACACCCACCTCCAGATCGAGGCGAGGGTTCGTGAAGGCAAACACATGAAATAAGAGGTTGGTTCTGAGATGTCTCAAAAACCCACAAGGCTAAAACAAATTAGACCCAGGCACTCACCTCCAGATCAAGGCGAGGGTATGTGAAGGCAAACACTATCGCCTCCACCGCCTTCCTTAGGGTTACATTCTGGAAGGGAGGAAGGGAGAGAGAGGGGTGGGAAGGAAGAAACAGGGGGCTTATTGCAAGTGATATATTTTCTTAACAGTCCATTATGGGAGAACAACTGCAAGAGGTGTTACTTCTGTAGCAGCCCATTAAAGGGTACATCTTCTAGCATATCAATCTAAGGTTCAACTGAGGGAGGCGCTTACCTTCTTAGCCGCGGCCCGTGTGGTGGCTTCCAGCTGCTGCCACCTGTACACGTTGACGTCAGCAGCTGCTGACGCACGCCTGCTGTCGCTGCGCCACGTGGCATCCATCCGATCCTGCAGCTCTGCACATAGTGGGGGGGGAGGGGAGCGGGAGAGGGGGACGGGAGGGGGGAGTGGGGGAAGGGGACGGGAGGGGGGAGAGGGGCATAGGGGCGGAGGATGGGCCGAAAGGGGGATGGTCGCAAGAAGGGCATAGGGGGCATGAGTTGAGTGGTAAAATTTCCCCATTGGACCTTTTACTTTGCACGTTGTGCACCAGTATCTGGCAGATTCCGAATCCTCACTTTGACTGACCTTGGTCGGGAAGTTGATTCAGCACCCTCTTGCACGTGTCTGGTAGGCTCAGCAGCCCTTGGTTGGGCAGCCCCCTTTCTTAATAGCACCTTCTGCACCAGCATTTGGCCCTGCACCCTAAATCCCACCTTGGTCGGGAAGTTGATTCAGCACCCTCTTGCATGTGTCTGGTAGGCTCAGCAGCCCTTGGTTGGGCAACCCCTCTTGGATTACACAGCACCTTGGCATGTCACCCTCTTGACTGCACTTTGCACACCAGCACTTGGCCATACATCGGCCTCACAACACTCGATCGCACCTCGGTCAGGCAGCTGAAATAGCACCCTTTTCCACGTGTCTGATTGGCCGAGCAGCTCTTGATTGAGAAGCCCCATTTCTTGATCGCACCTTTTGCACCAACATTTTGGCAAAAACCCCAAACCCCAAACCTCACCTTGGTCGGGCAGTTGATTCAGCACCCTCTTCCATGTGTCTGGTTGGCTCAGCAGCTAATGCTTTGGCGACCCCCCTTCTGAATCGCACCTTGTGCACCTTGTGCATAAGCCGCACTTTGACTCACCTTGGTCGGGCAGTTGATTCAGCACCCTCTTCCATGTGTCTGGTTGGCTCAGCAGCTAATGCTTTGGCGACCCCCCTTCTGAATCGCACCTTGTGCATAAGCCGCACTTTGACTCACCTTGGTCTGGCAGTTGATTCAGCACCCTCTTCCACGTGTCTGGTTGGCTTAGCAGCTCTTGGTTTGGCAGCACGTCGCCCTCGAATGTGCCCCGCAATACTTGGTCGTATGCCCTCCTGAAAGGGGAAGACAGGGCGGGAGCAAGGAGTGGAAGGAGGTTGAGTGCGGTTCAATGCATCCCAGAAGCAGCTCTTGGTTTGGCAGCACGTCACTCTCGAATGTGCCCCGCAATACTTCGTCGTATGTTCTCCTGATGGGGGCAGCCAGGGCACGAAACGGATGGTGGTAGTGCGGTTCAGTGTGGTTCAAAGCATCCCGGAAGGAGCTCTTGATTGGGCAGCACGTCAACCTCGAATGTGCCCCGCAATACTTGGTCGTATGCCCTCCTGAACGGTAAGGGCGAGTCGAACGAAAACACAAGGTAGACCGTCACATGTGACGTAACAGGAACAAAAACATCTCAAAATGAAAAAAGACCTAAAGAAAAGAACGTTGATCGTGTTGAAAGGCCATATGCTACACACAGAAAGAATTCACTTTCTCACAGGAAGATAATTTGCTCACATGAGGGAGGGATGGAGAGCTGCACCCGAGAACGACACCTTGCTTCCATTGGCTTCAGTTCCCTGCACATCGTGTTAATATGGTGTTAGCGTGGTGTTGATGGTGTTAGTAGAACGTGGGTCTTTGAGTCAACTTTATTAAGTTGACTTTTGAGTCAACTCAAAAGTCAACTTGATGCTGTTAGTAGCACTTTAGTCAACTTCATCTATGCACATAATATGAAACAAACATTTTTTGCCTCGAATAGCATTTCCCTGCCAATGGTGTTACAAGTGCACGAGTGATCATATGTTGGACATCCCAAATACCTTATACACTCGGAAATATTCAGCCACTGCAGACCGTTGCTCATTGGTTAGCCTGACGAGGGTTGGGGATGGGGGTGAGGAGGAGGGGAAGAGGGGATGAGGATGACCAACTTTCCTATCACCAACTTTCCATATCAAGATTTTCCCTGCCACCAACTTTCCCCACGCCGATAAAGGGGTAACCATCTGTCCTCTCACTGCCCAGCCTAATGCAATGCTATACCTTTTCCATCCGTGAAAGATATGTATGCATTAACCCCCCCTCCCCTCCTTGCTCGTCTGTCACACACCTAGCAATGCACGCTTTTTCGTCAAGCGGGCTCAGAAGAAATAAGAAGCACCAACCCCCCCTTACCTCCTTGCTCGCCTGTCGCACACCCAGCAATGCACGCCTCGTCTGCCACTGAACACCCACAAAATGTGCTCGAAACCAAAATCCTCTGGCGGGTGGGAAGAAAGCCAGTGGGGAGGGAAAGTGCGAGAAAGAGAGCGAATACTTCCTTGAAAAGTGCGCCCAACACTCCTGCCAGTGAATGAACACCCACAAGATGTGCTCGAATCCAAAGTCCTCTGGCGGGTACTTGGTGAGCAGGGGCATGCACAGTGAGGAAGCGGGACGGAGAGAGGGAACCAGGGAGGGCACATTATGAGAAGAGACCAGAGGAAAATGCTCATTGTAAAAAAGAAGAAAAGTGCATAGAAGAAAGAAGATACCTCTAAGGGCAGTGTCGACGACTTTAATGGCAGCTGTCATAAGCGGCCAGCATTTTGTGCACACCGACGCTCCTGAGCAGCAAGTTCGCACATCGTCGTAGTCGCTTATATCCTGTAACGAGTGAGGCAGAAAAGGATAAAGTACAGTCAATGTTCGACATGGGTAGCCAGCATTTGGTGCACACTAACGCATCGAGCCGGAGATCCGCATATCATTATAGTCGCTTATTTCCTGCATACAACAAAATCCATTCAGACAATCCAAGTCATAAGTGATCGGCAATCAACACAGACTCTTTCCCCGGTTCAGCAAGTTGGACCATCCTTGTGGTCGCTTAGGACGCTTATTGTTGGTGACGAGAATATAGAGAGGAGATGTCATCGTTATTGTGAAAGGCGCAAATACGGAAAGTGGCAACTTACAGTGTAAGAAACACGAAAAAGGCGTCGTTACTATGAAATGCACGAATACGAGAAGTGGCAACTTACAATGTCGAACACAAGCTCCCGTTCCACAGGTGCGAACGCGCTCTCCGACCCGATTCCCTGATACGCCGCTCGTCTCGCCGGCTGTTACCATATGCATATGGAAAGAAGAGATGATAACAAGGAGGAATGATTATATCGCATAAAGAAGCGAACACGCCTTCTCCTTCTCGCACCCTTCATACACCGCTCGTCTTTCGCGCTGCAATTGCGAGGGAGTAATCCTTGATAAATTCTCAGGCACGGTGAAAGTCACACGCAATTCGAAAATTTTACAGCGCGCTGAAAAAGTAACGGCGAGTCTTACGTACGTCGACGTTGTAGACGGCTCCTATGTCGATCTTATGCGGGTTCTTATCGCGGATCGCGGCTTCCATGTCCGCGGCGTCGCGGAACGACTGGTATCGCACGTAGATGTCGTGCTCTAGAGTGAACGAAAACTCGCGACGCTGGAGATACGACGCGTCGGTTCCGGGAAGTTTCCTGTCGTTGCAGTACGAGAGCCAGCGAGCCATGTCTGCGTAGGGGAAGAGGCGGCGATAGTAGATTCTTAGTAGGTCCGTGCTGAAACACGACTCGGCGGCGGACTGTTTGGTATCTTGCGGCTCGGCCGCGACAGCAGGGTCTGTATCTTCAACTTTCGATGGAGGTTCGGAATGGTCTGTCATGTTCTCGTCGGATAATATCGGACTACCCATTGATTTAGAGCACAAGTTGCAGATTAGCCGAGTCAGAAATGAGGGGCACACAGCTTAAAATATAAGCTGCACGCCGTCACTGTAAAGAGTTTAGATTCCGGAACTGAAGGTGGGTTGAACGGACGCCAATGGTATATTTTTTGTTTTTCACAGCAGACGCACGAGCTAACAATCGCAAGAGTGAAGCCTTCCTAGTTGTCAGGAGCAGCGAAACGGCAGGATATAATCAATTGTCATGTCAGAGCCCAGAGGACGGATGGAATGGAAGCAGCGGCACGAAGTGGCTGGCTAGTGCAACGGACAATACACTCCCCAGGAAACTCTGGGAGCTGTTTTTGGCGGGAACCCAGAAGCGCATTTGAATTTGCAAATACAAACTGTTAGAGTCACAGCAGATCTCGATATAGTCAGAATCTGATAATACAGTGAGCTATCTCAGAGAAGTGTTGTAGAATAACGCGGATTTCTCAGTCGCAGATTTTCTCGACGACTTGTCGTCAGAGGTTTCGTGGCCAGATATCTTTCGCCGCGAAATCGCCAACTTTCGCGTCCAGCAAGGTGGGAAGCCTTTGCCCTGACCTGACAGTCCAGACCGGACTGCCCTTGCACCCAATTGGAACTTCCAAAATCCTCCGAAACGAGAAAAAAGTAGGAAAACAGAAACAAAGAATACTGTTTAGCTGATTCTAGCTTCCAGTAAAGCCTAACTCAATACCGATTTTGGTTTCTTGAACTGCCCGCGCCGAAATTTCTCTCCCACAAGCCAACCACCAGAGAAACCCTCCACCGAGATCTCCACAAGCCATCGCAAGCCACTTGCCTCATCCATCCTTATTTCTGCACACAACCCATCCCTACCAAACCCATCCCATCCCATCCCATCCCATCCCATCCCATCTCATCCCATCCCATCCCATCCCATCCCATCCCGTCCCGTCCCATTCCATCCCATCCCACACAAGAGTTCACCTCACTCCTAGGCCCATACAGGTCCATCCAGAACTAGTCTCTCCGATTGATCCAAGACTAGCCCCCTATCCTCTTCTTTCTCTCTTTCCCTGATTCCGAAGGCACTCGGAGCTGGGTATCTCTAGAGTTACCTAGCTGTATAGATTCGTCTGCCAGGATGGAGTCGGTTCCGCTAGCTGCCTTAAACGGCGACTTTCCTTACCGTCGCTCGCAAGCGGTCGAAGGTGGTTATAACGAGAACGGATGGGTTGGCGTTGACGGTAGCGGCAAAGGAGGGAAAGCCTCTCATGGGAAGCGCCATGCGAGTCGCTCGTCCGCGCCTTACGCGAGACCTACGTCCGGAAGGCACGCTGCCGCTGGCTACGCTGCAGCAGCAATTCGAACTGCCACGTCGGCAGCGGGATCTCCGGGGGAATCCCAAGGCCGCGCAGACGCGTTGCTAGAAGCGCCGGGGAGGAATGGTGAAAGGAGGGATGAGCCGAAGCAAGACGGGGTGGGAAGCGCGGGAAGCGGCTGGTTTGGCTCGTGGCGGAATTCGATTGGATCGCTCGTCAGATGGCCTTGGAGCTCGCGAGGTATTCAATCACGGATCTTGAATCTCGGATGTTCATTAAGCGAAATCGCACCAATGCCGTGGTGTTCGACGATGCGTTTCCCGTGGTCTGATTTAAGTTTAGTTATTTCACGCGGAAGAGTCGATAGGTTTACCTCACGAGTCGATCCGGTTCACCGTCTTAACGCATATTATAGGGTTTACAAACTCTTGAACCGCGTCTGCAGTTGCTTGACAGCCCAGACCAGTATCGAGTCGCCGTGTAGAAGCGTGAAGTTAGCGATCTCGCCTTGTGATAAATCTCCTATAATGCATATATTTTTCCAATCTTTTGTCCAGAGGGTAACCGGCGTAACACGCAAGGCGAGGGACAAGGCGTGTTGGACAAGCGACCGTCTGACGGCGCAACCAGCAGCGAGCCCGCGGAGGGAGCGAATGCTGCTGGTGCTGCTGGTAATATCCGGGATCGACAGGCGGGAGGAGCGAACGGGAAGCAGCAGAGGGAGGAAGGCGCAGTGTTGACGGAGGTTGAGCAGCTTCTGAGACGAGGGACGCCGTTGTCGCTGTACGTTATGTTGCAGATTCGCATGTTATTCTTAATCTTTAGGGTAGGTTATATTCCGAATACATCGTACGGGAAACATGGGAACGAGGCCGTGGTGATGTCGGAGGTCGAGCAGCTGCTGAGACGTGAGACATCGCTTTCGCTGTTGGTAACCTGATTTCTTTGATGGTAACACGTATCGTTCGTCTATCGTAAACTCGTGGCCCTCTTTTCGTCATTCGTCACATCCGCAGGTCATTGACAATGTGCCAACCAATCACCTTCACTGGGAACTTTCGGTTTTTTCAAACCGTTTCTAGTTCTCTATCCTCCCGGTTCTGCTCGCGGCGTATCTTACTATACGCGTTCTTGCGTTCCACCTTTAAAGCTCCAATCCGAACCCCTCGCATCTGATTAATCCCTTGTTGGTCCCGCCATGCTGACGTGTCACGGCCCTACCTTACAGGCGCGAGTTTCAGCGGCTGAACGAGCTGCTGCGTCAACACGTGGCGAGTGGCGAAGCAGAGAGGACAGAGGGCAAGCAGGAGGAGAAGGAAGAGGGGAACGAGGATGGGGAAGGGGAAGAGGAAGAGGAAGGGGAGGGGAGGCGGCAGGAAGAGGACGAGGGGCAAGAAGGGAGGGTGGAAGCATCTGCGGGGAAGAGAAGGAAGACTGGCGGCAGTGGCAGTTGGGTGGCGGCAGATGGGATGAGAGGGCGGGAGAATGCAGCTAACACTGTGCACGTTGCACCTCGGGTTACGCCTCGGGTTACGTCTCGGGTTACACCTCAGGTTACGCCTCGGGTGACACTTGATGACATTTCTGGAGGTGCTGATGGCGATGGAATGAACGTATCGCCTGTTGACGTCGCGAGGGCGTTCATGCGACCCAGTATGGCCGCTTTTCCTGCAGCAAAAACACCACCACCGGCACCAGTAGCAGCAGAAGCGGCTGAGAAGGTGAGTGAGTGGGTGGGTGAGTGAGGTTAGTGAAATTGTTGCCTGTAGACGTGGCAACGGCTTTCCTACGACTGTAAGACTGTCTCCTGAAACCAACCCCACCCCCAAACCACCCCGCCTCTCCCCCTCCCCCCTCCCCCCTCTTCCCCCAACAACCCACCCCACCCTTCTCATTGCCTTGTGATTCCGTCCGTGGCAGGGAGTGAGCCTTCGAGCGTGGACGCCGTACCAGACCCAGCTGACGCCAGCGACCAAGGTAAGGCTGTCACGTCATCCCATGGAAAGGAGAGGAAAGGAAAGGAAAGGAGGGGAGATGAGTGGAGCGATCTCGTTGCTGCACTCTCAACACTCATCGCCGCATGTCTGGCAGAACCAGAGTTCTTTCTTTCTTAACATGTCGCAAAAATCAGTGGTTTTAACTGTCTCTTTCTCGCTGCCCCTCAACACGTCTGTTGCCATTTGGCAGTCTCGCAAGCGCAGCAACGCACAACTGCATGAACCCAGCCCACCCAGCGCAAGCCCTTGGGGTGCTGTACCCCTTATAAGCCCCTCTGCTGTTCCTCATAGGCGCAGGGGCAGCATCGTTCCAAGCGCAGGAGGGCTGCGTAACGGTGGGACTGGTAACCAGACTCGCCAGAGGAGAGTGTCGTTTTCGCCAGCAGTGCTGGCAGCAGCAGCGGAGGGGGAGGAGGATGAGGAAGAGGGAGGGTGGAGCAGGAGGATGGGAAGAGGGAGGGCTTTAAGGAGGCTTAGAGAAGGGGATAGAGACGACTGGTTGCCTCTGCAACAGCAGCAGCTGTTGCAGCAGTTAAAGAGGGACCAAATCTTAGCAAGCGTTCCTTCCCGGTCAGCTCAATCTGCCCGGAAAATCCTGGACACGTTGGATCGGATGGCTGGGGCTTTGCCTGCTGCGGAGGGTTTTGGTCGGTCAGGGGAAAGGAGGAGAGTGAGTGGGGGTAGTGAGTTGCAGAGATTGAAGGGGAAAGAGAAGGTTGTTGAGGGGGAGAGCGGTGGGGAGGGAGGGGAGAATGGGGCAAGAAGCAGAGAAAACGAGCAGCAGTTGCAGCAGCAGCAGCAGCAACAGCAACAACAGGGACAGCAGAGACAAAAGCAACAGGAGCAGCAGGAGCAGAGAGGCGATGGGCTGGGGAGGGAGAAGGAGGGGGCGAGGGGAGAGGAGGGGGGGGAGGCGAGGCGTGTAGGGGGAGGTGCGTTGGTGGATGGTGGGAAGGAGGATGGTGGGCAGGGGACGAGGAGAGGCCGCCATGGGTTCAGAATGTCTGTTTTCGAGGTGAGTATTTTCGGATGGGTCTGAATGGGTTTGGAGAGTTTGGAAGGGTTTGGAAGGGTTTGGATGGGATATTAGCGGTTTGCAAATGCTAACGAATAGAACTCGTCGTTAAAGCTCGCAGACAGAATGGCCACCATTTTTCTCCGGCTGTGCTTTCGATTCCCTCTTACTCCCTATACTTGAGTCTTGTGATAACGTGTGTTAACTGGTGTCATTGCCCCCCACGTTCGTTGGCACACAGGAGGACGAGGAGGACAGGCCAAGCCAGGACGCAGCAGCAGCGGGAGGAGGAGGAGCAGCAGCAGGAGCAACAGGTGCAACAGCAGCAACAGGAGCAGGAGGCAGCAAGGCGGCCGATAGAGAGGCAGCTAAAACAGGAACGGACGCTGCTTCTGCCGCTCCTGTGACCGGCGGGCAGCAGCGCGAGGGGGAGAAGGGCGAGGAGCAGAGCAAGGGCGATAGAGGCAAGGAAAAGAGCACGGGTGCTACCACTGGAAGGTGAATTGGAGGAGGGGTGTGGGACTGTGTGGGAATGGCGTGGGTGCAGTAGGGTAAGGAGGGGTGCACATGATTGAAAGATAATGCTTCGTTGTCGACTCCCCCATTTCCCCATTTTATTTTATTTTAAACTTCACTGCTCATCCCGCGTTTCCGTTGCGCCTTTTTTTTCGCCCGCTCTGCCCTCCCATGCCCACCCCTCCCTCGCCCCATTCCAGTTTCTTTGGCTCAGCAGCGCATGCAGCAACTCTCGCGCCGCAACCCACGCCTGCAAAGCCAGCATCACTAGACACCCCTTCTCACTCTTTTCCGTTGTACCTCTTTCCACTCCCCCTGCTCCCCCATGCCCGCCCTGCCCCTCCCTTGCCCCATTCCAGTTTCTTTGGCTCAGCAGCGCATGCAGCAACTCTCGCGCCACAACCCTCCCCTGCAAAGCCAGCATCTCCAGACACCTCCCAAGGCAAACCCACAGCAGCACCCGCAGCAGCAGCAGCTGTGGCAGCACCAGCAGCAACAGCAGCAGCAGCAGCAGCAGCAGCAGCAGGAGCGTCGTCCTTTGGTGCGTCTGGGTTCAAGGCCCCTTCCTTTGGCTCCTCTGCTTCTGCCACAACCTCTCTCTTTGGGTCTTCTACCCCTGCTGCCCCTGTCCCTGCTCCTGCCCCTGCCCCTGCCCCTGCTGCCGCTACCTCTGCCAGTGCTCCTTCCTTTGGCATTTCCCCCACACCCTCCGTCCCCCCTGCCACTGCTTCTCAATCCGCAGCAGCACCAGCACCTGCACTCACAGGAGCTTCCCCAACGGCAGGACCATTGTTCGGCATCAAACCAGCAGCTGCGGAAGCTTCTCCTGCAGCAGCAGCAGCAGCAGCAGCAGCAGGAGGAGGAGGAGGAGCGGCTTTAGGGGCAGCACCAGCCGCAGCAGGGGCAGCATTGTTTGGCTTTAAGCCAGCAGCCGCCGCTCCAGCTGCTGGAAAGGATGCAGGTGCGGCTACTGCTTTTGGTGGCGGTGATGGGGGGGATAGGGGGAGAAGGGGAGGAGAGGAGGGGGGTGATATGGGGAGGAGGGGAGGAGGCGAGGAGGAGGAGGAGGCAGAGCCGAGGAGGAAGCGGAGGGTGTCGTCGTCGCCTGTGGGAGGGGAGTCGGGTGGTTCACCTCCTTCCCTCTTTGGCTTTGGAAAGCCGCCCGCAGGTGTGTGCTTGCTCCTTACTGCTTGCTCCTTACTGCTTGCTCCTTGCTCCTTACTGCTTGCTCCTTGCTCCTTACTGCTTGCTCCTTGCTGCTTGCTCCTTGCTCCTTACTGCTTGCTCCTTGCTCCTTACTGCTTGCTCCTTGCTCCTTGCTGCTTGCTTCTTGCTGTCTCGGAATTTCCGAGTTTCCCCTACCCCTTCTCTTGCCCTCTCTCTCATCGCCTCCATCTCCATTTCCCTCTCCTCTCTCTCTTCTCTCCATCTCCCATTCTCCCTCTCCCCCCTCCCTCCACCTCTCCTCTCCCCATCTTCCTCTTGCCTAACTATTTGTTTTTTCTTTTTCTTTTTCCTTTTCTTTTTCTTTTCCCCCCAATTGACAGGGTCCTCCTCTCCCTCAGAAGCCGCAGCTCCACTCTTCGGTGCTGCTTCTGCTGCTCCTCAAGCCTCTGCCCCTGCCACCACAACCACCACCACTCCTTCTGCACCTGCGTTTGGCTCGGCATCCACCGCACCTGCCTTTGGCTCGGCATCCACCGCACCCGCCTTTGGTTCGGCATCCACCGCACCGGTCTTCGGCTCGGGATCAACCGCACCTGCCTTTGGCTCGGGATCAGCACCGACATTCGGCCTCAGCCCATCTTCCCCCCTTGCAGCTGCTTCTACCCCAAGCTCTGCCGCCACAGCCACAGCTACAGCCACAGCTACAGCCACAGCCACTGGTTTTGCCACCGCTTCTACCCCTTCCTTCGGTCTCGCTGCGCCGTCCTTCGGTGGGGCCACAACCACCCCATCAACAGGCATCACCACAACCGCCCCTTCTTTCGCCACTTCAAGTGCCCCTACTTTCGGCACCACAACTGCCCCATCCTTTGGCCTTACTGCGACCGCCCCGTCCTTCGGCCTCGCCTCGGCTCCAGCTTTTGGTGGCTCTTCCACTGCTGCAGCTGCCGCATCAGCAGCACCTGCAGCCACCACCACCACTCCAGCCTTCGGCTCTGCTGCTGCTCCTGCTGCTGCCCCCACAACCACCACTGCCGCTGCTACCACTTTTGGCAGTCAGCCTGCTCCTTCCTTTGGGGCATTCGGCTCTACTCCTGCCTTTGGCTCTGGTGCTGCTTCTACCACCACTGCTTCCGCCACTGCTGCAGCTCCTGCTTTCGGATCGTCTGCTGCTGCCCCGGCCTTTGGCACCACTGCTGCAGGTCCTGTGTTTGGCGCTCCATCCTCCTCCCCTGCCTTTGGTGCTGCATCCTCTCCTGCCTTTGGTGCTGCTTCCACCCCAGCGTTTGGCACATTCTCTGGTTCATCCGCCCCTGCTTTTGGATCCTCCGCGCCTACTTTCGGATCATCTACCCCAGCTTTCGGCTCGTCAACAGCTGCTGCTACAGCTCCGCTCTTTGGCACCCCATCCACCACGCCAGCACCTGTTTTCGGTGTCCCTGCTGCCGCAAGTACTGGTGCCGCTACTGGCTTTGCCTTTGGCGCTACGGCATCATCAACCCCCTCTGCCTCTACCACCCCTGCTGCTGCTGCTTCCTCGTCTCCCGCGCCTGTTTTTGGATTTTCCGCTGCTTCTTCCGGACCTGCCGCCGCACCTGGGTTCACGTTCGGCGCTGCCGCACCAGGAGCTCCGGCAGCAGCATCTGCACCAGCAGCGTCGCCGTTTGGTTTTGCCGCCTCCCAGCCTGCCTCCTCTCCTGCTCCATTCTCCTTCGGGGCCCCAGCAGGCCCAGCAGCAGGAGGAGGAGGAGCAACAGCAGCCGCACCCTTCACCTTTGGAGGGGGAGGAGGAGCAGCAGCACCAGGGGCACCTGCAGCGGCAGGAGCAGCAGCAGGTGCAAATCCATTTGCCTTCGGCTCCACCCCCTCTCCCTCTGCTGCTCCTGGCGCCTTCGCATTTGGATCTACCCCTGCTCCTGCTGCCTCCGCTGCTCCCTTTGGTGCAGCCTCCGGCTTCCCAGGAGCCACTGGGAGCAGCAGCCCCTTTGGTGGGATGCAACAGAATACAATGTCCATGGAACCAGGTGGCATGGCAACGGCTGCTTCCACTCCTGTCGTTTTCGGAGCCTCGCCGTCCCCGGCAGGAGCTAATCCTTTTGCGTTTGGGCAGCCCGCAGCTGGAGGTGCCGCCCCGGGCGCTGCCCCGTTTTCGTTCGGTGGTGCTGCTGCTTCCCCGTCGCCAGCGGGGAGTGGTGGGAGTGGTGGGTTTGCTGCTCCGTCTATGGTGTTTGGTGCTGGTGCTGGTGGTGGTGGCGTTGGAGGTGGGGCTCCTGCTGGTGGTGGTGGGTTCTCGATGGGAGCAGGTGCACCCACTCCTGGGAGGAGAGTGGTCAAAGCCAAGAGACCAACGGCAAGACGTCGATAAGCAATATTGGTGACAATCACAATGAAATGGCGGGGCAGCTTTTGCTGCAATTATGGGTGCTGTTGCTATGGGGTACGGTATTTTGGGTGGGGTGGTGGAAGTTTTGGGATTAATTGTTTATGGGTACCGTTAAGTGCAACAAGATACGGCTGAAATGGTTCTGGTAGCAGTCTCCATGATTGAGTCAGGAGCAGCAGACGATAGGTCTGGGGACCAAGTTCCCCGAAAATGTTGGTATCGTATGATTTGCAGAAGTTATCTGCCATACTCGCATTGCTGTTAGTGTGTAAACGTTTGTATTGTGTCGGTCTAGCTGTGTCGGATATCTCAGTCTAATGAGCTCCTCTCTGCGCAGCATCCAGTCATCAAGCCCCTTCCGTTGCATCCAGACGAGTCGCACGTCTTTTCGGGGCGCTTCCTTCCCCAGGTCCTCCCCTCCCGCCCCCCGAACCAGAAGTTGCGTACGGGGCTGCGGAAAGCAGGCAGGGAGGGATTCCGCCAGCGCAGAAAATTGTGCGACAAGGGGTTGCGGAAATAACTGTCAGGAAATCTGCAAAGCTTAGGTTTGCGCGACCCAGGAACTGCGGAAACCAATTTCCGCTGTCTCCCCACCCCAGGGACTCTTCCCCGTCGCGCGTTTCCTTCATTCGCAGCGCGCAAGGCAGCATATCCTGCCCGTCCACAATTCCCAAGAAGCGGCAGGTGCGGCGTCTCTGCGGCGGCTGGATTTCTGCGCTCCGCTCCATGGATGCTGCCGGGGATGATGACGTGACGTCACCATGGTGGGGGTGGCATTGGGGAGGGTAGGATGCAATGGATGGGAGAATTCGAAGCGATTGAACGCGTGCGGTGCGTGCGTATGATAGACGATCCATCCATCCCCTCGTCGTCATCCGTACAGTGTACTGTATGGTGATGAGCCCGTCCGGTCCGGGTCCGGGGGCTTTGCTGCTGCGCCTTTCTCTTCGCCTCTCTCCTCGTTCGCGCCGTTCACTGTCCGTCCGTCAGTCCGGCCGGCGATCGTCACTAATGACGACAACGATTTCAAAGTTGCTAACGTCGCCACGTGGCTTGACGTTTTCTGCACAGTTCCGGAATCCAGACGCGCCGCCACGATCAATATCATCGCCGTGACGTTCTCGTCCGACTCGACTCGTCGGTCGCCGGTGCGCAGGACGTAGGTACACGGACCAAAACCCCCACCCCGCTGGCGTGCAGTGTACCACTCACGGAGCTGCTGAGGGGACAGGGTCGCACGACCACGCTGCTGCTGCTGGCGCGAGCCACCACCGGAGCCACTCCTCTGCAAGGACCCGCGACCAGCTCCACCGCCACCCCCACCGCCTCCACCGCCTCCGCTGCCTCCACTGCCGCCGCCGCCTCCACCGCCTCCTCCACCGCCGCCTCCTCCGCCACCTCCGCTACCACCGCCACCGCCGCCGCGGCCTCCGCCTCCACTGCCGCCACCGAACCCCCCACCCCCACCTCCACCTCCACCGCTACCCCCACTCCCCCCACTGCCTCCACCTCCACCTCCACCGCCCGCTCCTCCAGCTCCCTTGCCCCCCTTGCCCTTGCCAGGGCGGCGTCTCCCGCTAGGGGCAGACGCCGCACCGACCGACTCAAGAACAAGGAGGTCGGCCGAAGCAGCAGAGGCAACAGAGGGCAGCAGGGGGGAGGGAGAACACCCCTCAAAGATGGGGGTGCGCGGGTCACCTCGAGAGGCTCCTACAGCGACTATGCTCTTTTCTATCGCGAGGAGGGCCTTCTCGAGGAGGTCTACAGTGAGTGTGGTGGGACAGACTGAGAGAAAGTGGTCCCTGACTACTCGAAGGGAGTCAGGGAGGCGAGTGACTAGGAAGTACAGAGTGATGTACATGGGGGGGGGGTTCGCGGTGCAGAAGTCAGCAGGAAGTGCAGCGCGGTAGCGAGTGTCACTAGTGCGGAGGTGCGTAATGAGGTCAGCAACGGTGGGAAAAGAAGCAAGGTCAGGGAAGAGGTACGGCAGCATGAGACGGCTCAGTGCAGCAGTGGAAGGGGAGGAGTAGCGCGCGACTACAGCGGCGTACAAGGTCTGAGCACTCTTGTACTGACTAAAGTGCGCACGCTCGGAGGTAGGGAGGTGGCGACGCACAGCAAGACGTGCAGCAGCATCGCGCGTGGCCCACTGGGAGCGAACAGTGGCGTCAGCATCAGCAGCAGGGGCAGGGGAAGCGCCAGAGGTGAGGTCAAAGAGAGAGAGGCCGTCCGCCCTATCGCACTGTAAGAACAGCTGTAGGTCATCTACCCAGACCTCAAAGTCAATGGCCCGACCCTCAGCGTCAAAAGTAAGGACACTAGGGGTAGCCATGACAGCAGTAGACCAGCAGTGCAAGGAGTAGGGGAAGAGCACGCAGTGACAGAGGGTCTGTGCTCACCGGACAGGGCTGCTCGGGCGGCGTGGCTGCAGGGCGGCTCGGCCGCTGGGCGGCTCGGCGGCTGGGCGGCTCGGCGGCTGGGCGGCTCGGCGGCTGGGCGGTCGGCTGCACGGCTGCAGCGCGGCTCGGCGGCGGGGCGGCTCGGCTGCTCTGCTGCTGGGCGGCTCGGCTGCGCTGCTGTTGGGCGGCTCGGCTGGGCCGCTGACGTAGGGCGGCGGGGCCGCTGTAGAGGAGTGGCGGGGCCGCTGCAGAAGGACGGCGGGGCCGCTGGGTAGTGAGGCGGCGGGGCCGCGAAGACGGGCGGCGGGGCCGCTGCAGAGAAGCGGCGGGGCCGCAGTGAAGGGCGGCGGGGCCGCAACGAGAGAGGCGGCGGGGCCGTAGCGAGAGAAGCGGCGGGGCCGCGAAGTCGGGCGGCGGGGCCGCTGAGTAGGGCGGCGGGGCCGCAGTGAGAGGCGGCGGGGCCGCAGCGAGAGAGGCGGCGGGGCCGCGAAGACGGGCGGCGGGGCCGCTGAGACGGGTGGCGGGGCCGCAGTGAGTGGCGGCGGGGCCGCAGCGAGAGATGGCGGCGGGGCCGCGAAGACGGGCGGCGGGGCCGCAACGAGAGAGGCGGCGACGGGCCTGGGCGGCGCGAAGCCGCAGGTAGGGGCGGCGCGAAGCCGCCGGTGAGGGCGGCGCAAAGCCGCGGGTAAGGGCGGCGACGGGCCGGAAAAAGGGCGGCTCGCCGCAGCCGCTAGGGCGGCTCGACGCGACCGTAAGGGCGGCGCGACGGGCCGCTAGGTGCGACTCGACGGGCCGCTAAAAAAAAGGCAGGCGCGACTCGAGGCGCGCTTCGGTGGGCCCAAGGAACAGTCCCTAGGAGGGGACCTGCTCTGATTCCATGTGAAAATGAGAACGAGGATGAATGAACTATGGAATGATGTGAGTACAAATATGAAACCCTAATTGGTTGTACCCCCTATGGGATACCCCACTATAGCCTACACAACAGCATAAGCTACAATGTTCTGACACGTCCGGCACACCAACACAAAACAACAGCGTGGGACAACGCTCAGGCGCAGCTGTTAGAAAGAAGAAGTGTTCGACTAGAAAGGAAAGGGAGTACAAGTACCTAACCCTAGAATTGTGTACCCCCTAAAGGCTAACCCACTGTAGCCTACACAAATACAACATATATAATGTTTGACACACCCCCATAGGCTAAGTGGGGGAGAGCAAGCGGTCACAAGACCAGTCAAAGCAAAGCAAAGCAAGACAAGCTCAGGGTGGATCTCAAGGATACCACACAAATTCCGAGCACAAGCAAATGGTCACAAGACCAGTTCACATGCAGTTTGATAATAGAACAAGAGGTACAGTGATCACAACCTAGCAAGTGTAAGCATGCAGGTATATATATAGAGATCATAGTACAAGCAGAGTCAAGAAGTGAGCAAGTGAGGGAGAGTAGGCACAAGGCCTAGAACAGTACAGAAACGTTGATGATCACAAGGCTGAAGTGCCTTGGTGAACACATCAGCAGTGTTGGCCCGAGTGGCCACGTACGAGAGACGAAGCTGACCCCTCTGCTGCAGCTCTCGCGCTAGGAAGTAGCGCAGAGCGATGTGCTTCGTTCTGTGCTCCAGTCTGTGCTCCTCACACAAGGCAATGGCTGCCTTGTTGTCGACGTACAGCACTGGAGGAGAACGAGGCCGCTCTCCGAGGTCGGTCAGCAGGTAGGTGAGCCTAGGATGCTAAGAGGGTATGCAAGGTCAGGTCGAGTGCAGGTCATCAGGTACATGAGGCAGCCAACAAGCTCTGGATACGGGCCACTCGGCTCTACGGACTCATCCGAAGGCAGAGCTGAGAGCGAGTGACCGGTAGGCAGAGGAGTGGGCTGAGGCGAGGAGTACGTGAAGCCGAAGCGCTGAAGGACCTGCTGCACCATGTGTGACTGAGTCAAGGTGATGGTGCGCTGTGCTCTGTCCCGGGTGATCCGCAAGCCAAGATAGCTTGTCAGCTCACCCAGGTCTGTGCACGTGTGTCTCTTCTGCAGCTCCGACTTCACGTGGGCGAGTGCCTCAGTGTCAGCAGTAGCAAAGACCAAGTCGTCGACGTACACGAGAACGTAGAACGGCGGCAGAGTGGTGTCGGTGCGTAGAAACAGCGACGGGTCAGCAGTAGAAGGAGCAAACCCAAGAGCCGCAAGCGTAGTCCTCAGTGTGTCGTGCCACTCATGGGGTGCCTGGCGGAGACCGTAGACTGGCCGCCGGAGGCTCCACTGGGTACCAGGAGGGAACGACCCAGTGAAGCGAGGTGGGCGGCGCAGCCAGATCTCCTCGTGCAGGCTGCCCTGTAGGAACGCAGTGCTGAAGTCAAGAGAGTGGAGCTCGTAGTCACGCTGAGCGGCGACGTGCAGCAGAACCCGAAGAGTGGTCATCTTCGGGGTCGGGGAGAAGGTCTGGAAGAAATCAACTCCCTCTCGCTGACTGAAGCCTCGTGCAACGTAACGCGCCTTGAAGACAGGCGGAGAACCCGGCGGCCGCTTCACCCTGAAAATCCACATGCCACTGACGATGTTCGCCCCAGGTGGGGGAACCTCGT